GGTCAAGTTGATAGGGGTCAGGATAGGATGCACAGTTCGTTAATGAAAGAGAGCAGGGTCTAGTAGAGAGGCAGCGAAAACGGGGAATCAAAGAGGGAAAAAGGATAGGGATATAAAGAGTGCGTGTCGGGTACGTTACTTGCGTGGTTTTTGGTGTTAAAGATAATTTTGTCATGGAATTTCAGAAGTTTATGCAGAGGTGAGAAGAAGCGAGCATTAAAGAGAGTCATCAGTAGAGGTAAACCGAATATGCTCTTTGTCGAAGAAACCAAGATATAGAACCCATATGATGGTCTGTAGTAGAGAATATGGTTGAAAGAAAGAGTCTAAAGTAGAGCATGAGATCTGAAAAAAGGTCGGGAGATCTATTGTGTATGTGGTAAGAGGATTTTTTCGAGGTTGAGGAGGTAATCACCCATAAAAAAATTTTTACTTTTAATTAGAATGGCAAAAGGAATCAAAACGAGGGTTGTGTTTGGGGATGTGTACGTTCCAAATGATGAAAGAGAGGGAAATGTTATTTGAGAAAAGTTGAGTGAGATCATGGCTAGGGCTGAAATTTAGTGGGTTTTGAGGGGTTTCAACATCATCAAGAAGGAGGAAGAAAGGATTGGTAGGGTTAATACAAGGAAAGCTGCAGCACGATTTGATTAGTTCATTAATGAGATTGATCTTGTTGATCTTTTGCTGACAGACAATAAGTTTACGTGGTGCAATAATAGGGAAGAACTTGCTTTTTAGCAAACTAGATCGATTTTTAATTAATATGGTATTATTGGAGATGGATGAGAAGATGGTTTAAAGGTGTTTGCCAAGTCCTCTATTAGATCATAATCCGATAATTATTAGGTTGAATAAGATGGATTGGGGACCAAAATCGTTCAAGTTTTTCAATTATTGGATGGAGGAAGAGAGTTTTAAGGTGGTGGTGAGAGACTATTGGAATAATGCTAGAAGAGGGAATGAGGGAGGAAAAGGGCTATGGAAGAAGTTGAAGGAGCTAAAACCGGTTTTAAAAGAGTGGTAAAAGAGAGTCTTTGGGAGTATTTGGGAGAAAATATCAAGAGGTGAAGAGGAATTGCAAGAACTCAATGAAAAGTGGCAAGATGGTGTTGGGAGTGAGGGGACTAGGGAAGAGATTGTGGGGAAAATAGTTGAATTATGAGAATTATATAGAGTAGAGGAGAGAAAATGATAGCAGAAGTCTAGAATGAAATGGGTTTTGGAAGGGGATCGTAACATGAGATTCTTCCATATGATGGCTTCAGCTAGAAGAAGAGCAAACCTCATACAGCAACTACTGTAAATAGAAAACCCCAACATAAGTGAGACCAGAAGAGGTGAAAAGTGAAGTCGTAAATTACTTTGCTCAATTTTACAAAATCAAAAAAATGCTTATGTTAAAGGAGTTTAATTGCTTTTTCAAAACTATAAATGGAGTTAATGTGAAGTTTCTAGAGAAAAAGTTCTTAGTGGGAGAGGTTTGAAAAATCTTTTGTAATTGTGATGACAACAAAGCCCCAAGGTTAGATGGTTTTAACTTGAACTTTTTTAAGAATCAATGGGATTTAGTTTGAGGAAGAAATGATGTAGTGTTTAGAAAATTTTTATGAGAATGGAGAGCTAAAAGGAGAGGCAAATAACTCTTTCATCACACTCATTCCCAAAGTTATAAATCCATCCACCATCACCGAATATAAACCTATCAACCTTGTGGGGAATGTGTACAAAATTGTGACAAAGCTACTTGCAAATAGATTGAGGAAGGTGATAGGGGAAGTGATTGGGGAAAATCAATTTGCTTTTGTGAAAGGAAAAAAATTGACGGACTACATCTTAATTCTGAATAAAATAATCGATTTTTTAAATAAGAGAAATGAGGGAGACCATTTACTCAAAGTGGACTTTAAGAAAGTTTAAGACAATGTAGATTGGGGATTTTGCAATTTGTATTGAGAAAAATGATGTTTGGAGTTAAATGACAAAAATAGATAAAAGGGTGTTTGAATACGGAAAAGGTTTTTCGGTGTTAGTTAATGAGATTATTACATAGCCTTCTAAGATGGAAAGAAGGCTTTGACAAGGATATCCTCTATCACCGTTTCTCTTCAACATTGAGACTGAAGCCTTTAATCAACTTATGTGTAAGGCTAGGAACATTGGATTATGCCACAGAGCTTCCGATTGGTAATAATGGTTTCGTAATCTCTCATTTGCAATTCACTGACGACACTATGATATGTTGCAAGCCAAAAGTTAAAAAACTTTTGAAATGTCAAAATGGTGCTGAAATGTTTTCAATTGATATCCGAGCTAAAGACAAACTTTAATAAACGTAGCTTGATAGGGATTGGAATAGAGAGCAACTTGGTTAATAAGGGGGCTAAATGTCTTACCTACAGGGTGGGAGAGCTACCTACAATTTACATAGGACTCCCATTGGGAACCAAGCATAGTTCGGTAAGAATGTGTGAGTTAATCATTGAGAAATTTGAGAACCAGTTTGCAGGTAGAAGACAAAAGTGCTATCTTGGGGGGGGGGAGGTAGTTCGAAGTCAGTCCTAGGGAGTCTACCGATGTTTTATATGTGCTTATTTCAGTTATTGAAAGGAGTGAAAAACAGCTTGAAAAATTTGAGAAGAGGCTTCTTTGGAGTGGGGTCGAGAAGCAACGAAAGGTTCCCTACGTGAGATGGGATGAAATATGTAGATACAAAAAGGATGGGGGTTTGGGATTATTGATTTAGAGATAAAAAATAGAGCCCTTCTTAACAAGTGGATTTAAAGGTACAATAGTGAGAAATCAGGTTGTGAAGAAGAGTGATTGATTAAAAAAAAAGAGGTGATCCCAATAGTCTCACAACACAAACGCAAATAGAAAGTCTTCCACAACCTGGAAGAATATCGTTGAACGTTATTCGGCTACTAACAAGTATGCTTTGCAAGTTACAAATAATCTACAGATGACCGTTGGAAAAGGCAGGAATATCCAATACTGGACAGACGGATGGAGGGAGAAACCTTAAAAGATCGCTTCCTTAGGATCTATGCACTTGCTCGAAACAAAATGGTTGCATCAATGAGTATGGACAATGGGAGAATGAATTGTGGAGCTGGAACATTGAGCTTAGAAGAGCACCGTTTGGGTGGGATGAACAACAAGGGCACTACTTCAAAGCCATAGTGGAGGAATACCATTTGAACAAGGAATGATGATAAGCTACCGTGAAAGGGACGACATCTGGCTGCTATAAAGTGAATTCATTTTGTAAAGAGTTTTACATTCTGAGGGCAGCATCTGGGATAGGTGGAGAGAGGTCTGGTCAAACTTAGCACCATATAGAATTGAAGTTTTCACCTGGCAACTACTACATGGAAGAGTCGCTGTCAAACAGGAGCAGGTTCAACGTGGAATGATATCCTCTGATGCTGCTTTGTGTGCAATTTGCAAATAGCAACAAGAAACGGTTAGTCAGCTCTTTATCCATTGTCATGAAACATAGAAATTGTGGTCAAAATAGAGCAGTGATTGGGAGGTGCAATGGGCAATTTAAGGGAACATTAATAGTTTTTTCTGCATGTGGAATGCAGAGGTTAAAATCTGAAAAATGGCTTTTTACGCAACAGTCAGATCATTATGGATTCATAGGAATCATATAGTCTTTCGATGGAAAACATGGGACATTGATCAACTCTAGGAGGCCAACAAACTAAGAGTGGCCACTTGGGCGTAAGCAAAATGGCCTGATGTGTATAGTGTTGTTATGGATACCTATAGAAACCCAAGATCAGGATCGAGATTGCCCAAAGCCAGCACTAGCAGGCAAGTGGCAGAATGGATCCAGCCAGACCAAGGAACGGTGAAATTTAACGTCTGACGGAGTTGCACAAGGAAGGCTCGAGGAGGCTGGGATCGAAGTAGCCTTGCGAGACAAAAATGGTTGTATGGAAATCAATTTTTTTTAAGGCAATAGGAATGGGAGGTGCAAACCTTACAGAAGTTCGAACAATTAGAGAGACCTTCTTGATTTTTTCAGCATCGCAATGGGCTTCAACACATGTTTTTATTGTAAAAAATAACTCTAAAAATGCTGTCAAGTGCGAGAAAAATCCAAATAAAGCCCCTTGCAGGATGCGTAAATGGATACTTCACATTGAGAGACTGAAAAAGAGTGTTCCGAGATGGGAGGTTAACCATATTCTCAGAAAATAAAATCAAGTTGCAGACCGTCTTGCGAAAGTAGGGGTTCAAAGGCAAGTGGATTTGATCAAAATCTTCCACTGATGCTGTCTCAGGGGCTGATATTGTTCATTGGATTTGGGGTCTCAAGGCCTTTATTCCTACTTGATCGAGCCAGAGAAGCCTGGGTTTGACGCTGACAATGGGGCTGGGAACCAGAGGCTGCTTTTGAACCCAAGAGGTCTGGTGAGTTCTGTTTTTGAGCTGGGGAATTATGGTATGATAATGTCTGAATGAATGAAGGCCAAGCTTTCCTTTCCTCTCTAGTTCCTTTTGTTTTCGACCGGTACTGATTGAGAAAGTGTCATTTTTGTGTTGATGAGTTGGTTTGATATGCTTGCTTGGTTGATTTGTTTGGTTGGGGACCTGGGTCTGTAAATTTTGTGGGTTGCTTGTTGTTAGTATTCTGAACAGGTAGGGGATCCTGGAAATGTATAGCAGACTAGTGCTCTGCGTTTTTATATAACAGAGCTGGTCACCATTGTATTTTTGTGGGAAAAATTTTATGCAAATGAGTTTCACACTGACGAAACTCTTAGGCCTAAACTAGTCTCAGGCCTGGTGGGTTGTTGCCCACAGGTATACTAATGATATTATTAAATTTCAAAAAAAAAAGTCCTGGGGCAATATATATTTGTCAAGCTGAAAGTCAATTTCTTGTATTAAGAATAAGCCATGAGGTGCATGAACAAACACTTTCTGTAGCATTTGTAAAGGACCAGTTTAGCAATGAAAGCAACGTGTCAAAAAAGTTTAGATTAATTAGGCCTTCTGAACTACGCAACTTTCCTTGTTTCTCTGACTTAAATGCATGATAATGTGTATTTTGCAGGACTTTTCCTTGGAGGACCCTGACAAATTGTTACTGCAGATGCAATCTGCTTGAACATATGTGAAACAAGATAGGATATGCTGTTTCTGACTTCCTATGACACTGCATGTACGACTAAAGAGATATAGATATACCTGCTGCACAGCAACTCAATATGAGGCCTCTTAGATGTTGAGGCGCTTTTGTAATTTTTACTAGTACCCATCCCATTGCTGAGCCAATAATAAATGTGTTCAGGATATTGAATGGCATGAACCACCTATGTATAACGTTGAATTGAAAGAAGAAAAATTAGCCCACACCTTAAATTAAACAACAATTATCACGATAAGTAAAAGTGATTGAGTACTCAGAACCGAACTCACAATAAAACAATGCTCTCAGAGGTAATTGTTTTGGCCAGGTTGCTACTGACCACTGCTGGATTAAACACGTAAAAAACAACCTGATCACAGACAAAATCATGGTTCTTATTTATGAAGTTCCTGAGACTGACAAATTATTTTCAAGTTTTCATAACGCAAGGCAGACCCTGTTCAATGAGAAATATTATATATGATACACAACTGAAATCTGAAAATCTACGACTTACATCATTCAGCTGCTTCCTCGCATCCTCTCCCATAACATCTATACGGTCCAAGGCGAGAAATGAACCAAGTGCCGTCAGCAGGAGCACTTTCAAAACTGGCATAGAAGCAACAACAAACAAATCTAGAAACCTCATCGTATCGATTCTTCTAACGTTTCAAATACAATCCACTCCTGCTTGAAGGAGAGAAGTTTTCAATATAAGGACATCTTTTAGCGTTATGTTATGCTACTTGTAAATTTGCACACCTAAACCGTAAGAAATGCAAGGAATAATACTATCATTAAACTTTTAAACCCTTCTTGTCAGGATCAACATCATTGGAATGTAACCGCAATGTACGTGGTTACAGCTAATTGATGCACTAAATATGTCTATATAGAAGCAAAATGCGTGAAATGCCTCCTAAGGATTGAGGTACGCGTGGTTATAGACCAATGGGAAAGTGGAATGCAAGAAGAAGAAGGAAGTTCGCACACCGCACCTTTCTTCTTCACTCTCCCAACATTTTGGGGGAGAATATAAGAGGCTAAGAATGTGGTATAAATTTAAAAAAAAAAATGAATGAGACTTTGGAATGACGAGAAAGCTAACAAGTTTGAATGTGAGTGCGTCGGGGATAAAATGCTTGGGAGTGAAGAAATAAAGACTGAACTATAGCCCATTGCGGGACAGGCGCTGTTTTTGCATGGTTGCTCTGGCCTCTGGGTTGTCTATTGATACCGACCTTTTGAAGCCATTTATATTTGCTTAAGCTTAAACAAGTACGTGACTTATGTGCCTGTATGGGTTGATAAAATATTTTTGGATGATTTGTTTTAGACTTCAGAACAAGAAACCATAAACAATGAACACGGAGGGATAGAGAGAGGAGTCACCAGGTGTGGCCCAGTGGCTCAAAAATCTTCTTAAGCTGCTGGTGCGTGGCCCTGGTGCTCCAACATACATGTCCGTGACCGTGGACCCACCACCCCAGAATCTTAACAAACCAATGCATTTATCTTCATCGATCCTTTCAGCTCTAAGAGATTCAAGCCCTCCTTCCTGTTACCTTCGTTCTGTTTTAACTTTGCTTGACACTGGTCCACAGTTGTTCACCACCTTCTGCCCGCTCCACAGTTCAACATCAAGAATGAGATCTAAAGGTTCAAAATGCACTCTTTCGCACTGCAATCTGCATAGAGATGGCATCTATTCCTCACTCTCACATGTCAAACATTTTACTTTCAGATATCAGATATTGGTTGTTGCATATTCCACTAGACTCTTCTACAGCTACTTCCTTCTCTTGTTAAACAGTACTCACGGAAACTCCATTGTAACCTTTCCTCTTTTTTTTGTTTAAATTCCGAAAGGAAAAAAAAAAGGAAAGTTCGCATTCACATTTTAACTATGTGTCGCATGATCCAACATCAAAACACCATCGCATTTTCATGACCACCGTGCAATTAAACCACGGACGCTTATAGATATGATATTTGGCCCTTCTGGGAAGCCTGCAGGTACGTAAATTCCCAGCAAAAGATATTAATTTTCACATATGATCTCTAATGAATCATCAAATGGAATAAATACAATGACCACCTCCCCCAAAAGAGAGAGAGAGAGTTCGATGCTCCTTTCAGTTTTGATACATGGGGAATTTTAAAAGTAAAAATTCCTTCTTTGGAGAGGCTACGACCACTAATCAGCCCCTCTCAATAACTCTACTACATATACATGTAAACAAATACCATATTCATGCTTTGATCAACAACATCCCCTGTGATCGATGTGTCCGTAAGATAATAATAAAGCAGAAAAAGAATTACTGAGCCAGAACGTAAAAGGTCGACCAGAGTGTAAGGGAGAACGAAGCCACAGCATAATGACTGAACATTCACCCTGACCAACCCCAAGCAGCTCTGTGATTGTACCTATTAAAATGTATTCATGAAAGTCTCAACTCTTCTGATTCTGGAATAGTTTGGAGAATGCTAGTTTCTCTTGTCACATTACACCTCCTGTATAGGACACAGGATGTGCTTCAGAAAAAGTTTCTCCAGCACGTGAACACATAGGAACCCCGGAATGGATGCAACACATTCTTAAAAACTTATAATAGTTTCTTTAAACTGCACCTCCCTCCTTCAAAACCAATGCTTGATTCGCCCTCTGGCTGCAGACAAAACCCCTAGTTGATTTGCATCATTTTATCATTTATCTGTTCTCCGTAATGCCCCAAATCAAACCTAAGATTTTCTCTGGACTCCAATCCAATGACGCAAGGTATGACTCAAAGGGCCACCCCAGCATCTATCTGAAACTCTACTTAATGCAGAAAGCAAAAGGCAGTCGTATAACTCTTTAACACTCGAACATGACTAAAGAATTCTGACAAAGTAGACGAACTGCTGGATAATGTGAACCTAATCAAACACATTTGACACCTTTGGGAGCCAGTCTAATCAAACGTCTTGGAGCCTACAACAGAGGATGGAAACAAGAAATAAAGAAAGCGAGCGACGCAAAACTGCAGCGGTTTGGAATCAAACAACCTTGTTTCTATTTTCAACATACTTTCAAGAACAATTATCCTCCTCCCACCACAATGACTACAGGCCCTTTGTTCATAGAAGAAAGTTTAACTTCCTTGTTTATGTTATGGGCTAAATTTTTATCCAGAGCAAATGTTGGGCCGAGAACTGGTTAAAGGTCCCAAAAAAGAAGCAGCGACGTCGTTTCGCACAAGTCTGAGAACTGGTATCGTGCACGTGGGGGTGGTGTTCTGGTGCGGTGGCATCGAAACTCCAAAGTCCAAAGGCGGAAGTAAAGAAAGAAAGAACGCTGAAGGAATGCGTGATCGAAGAAATTTCTAGCTAGTGTCTGTCGAGTATCAGTCTGGTATACAAGCAGCAGGAGTAAATCAAAATTAAAGAAGCAAGAAGGTAATCGAGAGGATTTGGTTTATCTTTCTTTCGTACGGTGTATAGCTATATATATATATATATATATATATTTCAATTTTGAAGCACAGCGAAACCCAGAATAGAATTAATTAGAAAATTTTAGGGTTTACATACATTGGGGTTCAGGATTCCTTCTTCTCCGCCTCCTCCTCCTCCTCCTCCATTTTTGAAAGCAGGCAAGTCTCTCTTTATTCCTCGTTTTTCTTTTCCAATTTAATAATTGCATTTTCTTTAGGCAAAGTTGGAATTTTTCTTTTGACTCTCCTTTTAAGTTTTAAGAGAAGCAGCCACAGATAGTAAAGTTGAGACTTTTTTCTCCTTCACATTCATTTTCTTGTTTTGGATTTCGTCAGCTCAACTGTGGTTTATGGTTTCCTCAATTAAGTGATTCGTTCCTTGAGACAGACGACTGCTTAATTGTTAATAATTCACAAACGTTTTTTTCTTTTACAACAAATAGATAAATAAAACTAAAATATAATATGGATCATGGATGTGTAGGAGTTTTCAACCTTGCATAGAATGGACTCCAAGATAAGTGATACCAAGGAAAATGATAACAAGGCAGAACTAGCTGTTCCAGGTGCTTCTGACGTGAACCAGGGAGACCATCCTGTTACTCCCCAGCTTCAGGAACAATCTTCTTCCCCTTCCTCTGTACCCATGGAGGCTAATTCAATTCCCTCTCAGACTGAGAACACCGATGCTGATAACAACATAGAACCACATTCTACTCCACCTCAGCATCCTCTTAGCTCAGTTCCTATCCACAATGACCAAGCTTCATTGAAGCCTGCTACTGAAATCCCAAGTAATGCGAAATCTGAATCCTCTGATCTGAAGGCACCCATGGATGCTACAATTGACTCCCCTTCGTCCTCCAATCATATTCAAATTGCTGAACCCACTACTGATGTTAAAACTGAAACCTCCTCTGGGTCTCCTCCAAAACCAACTGCAAATGCCAAAACTGAACCTTTTTCTGCATTACCTCTAAGTAAAACTAATTGTGATGTTGACCCTGTACCTACAAGCCCTAATGAACCTGAACAACTTACGCCTTGTCCATCATCTTCTGATATCAAACTGGTGAAGGAGAAGGGGGATGATTTGAAGAATGGGGTCAATAAAGTGGACTTACCTACACCCCCTGTTAATGGGAACAGCAATTCTGAGCTCTCATTTTGCTTTGATGATGATCATTTTTCTGATGGCAATGAGTCAGGAACTGAAGAGGAGCAATCAGCCTTCATGAAGCAACTGGAAATTTTCTTCAAAGAGAGAGGCATGGAATTTAAGCCTCCTAAATTTTATGGAGAAGGACTCAATTGTCTTAAGTATGTTTATTTGTACTTGAACTATTGTTTTCTATTTGCAACTATGATGTGTTGGTAAATTTCTGGTTAACTGACATTTATTCACCTTTTACGGGGATAAGGTTGTGGAGAGCTGTTACTAGATTGGGTGGCTATGACAAGGTATGTAGTGTTTTGCCATGATTTCAATTAAATGTTTAAAATTTTTGCATGCATTGTGCAATCTACTTTTATAAATTGTAAATGGCTTTAGGTTAACCAAGTTAAGGAACACAGTATGATTGGAGCTGGCAATTACCTTATTTTTATCTAATTTCAGCAAAATAAATTTATTTTACCGTGTGTATGAAATAGTTAGTAGTGGCTCAAAGTCATCCTTCCCCCTCAAATATGTACATGTGCACACTATCACACAAATTTGCTAAAATTTATATCATCAAGTGGATGAGTAAACTGGGCTTCTTTGACAACTGGAAAAACCAATCTTAACCCTAATAAAACAAGGTAGTATTTGTAAGTTGCAACTAGTTTATGTTTCATCCAAAATCTAATAAAAAGGGTAAATTGTTGCTTTAAAAGTCATAGGGTAGGGTTCTGTTTCTTTTCAACTTTTAATTATATTTCGTCTGGATAGTTACTCTTATTTTAGCATTTTAATGTGGTAGTTGTACCATTCGTAATTGGCCATGATCATGGTCTTCAATTAAAATCTCTGCTGGTTTTTTTTTTTTTTCTTGCCTGTCTACTGTCTTTTCTGTTTGATTCTTGTTTGGCATTTTCGTAAACAAATTTCGTGGAAGCTAACTGAGCTTACTTTTTTGACAACATGCTGATTCAGTAGAGTGCTAGACAACAATCTTGCCATCACTAATTTAGTTGGGTGTAAATCTTTCTGAAGAGAACTGTCTCTTTCATAGCATTACTTTTTCTCCTGTAATTGTCTCAAGGTCTTTATTTTGGTTTATGTTAGATTTCTGAATTAGTGGTAAATACTACATCCTCACTTATATAAGATTTTTGCTTTTCTAGAAGTTAGATTAGAGAAGCATATATAAATTTTAGCATGGTTTGTTGTACAATTTGACCTAACCTAATCTCAACTCAATCCTCTCAGAAAACTCTCTCTTTCTTTCTCTCTCTCTCTCTCTCTCTCTCTCACACACACACACACACATTTTTTAAAGAACTTCTGTTAAACCATGTAGTTATATATATCTTGCCAATGTTTGTTATGTGGGTTGCTCTGATGTCTATATTCTGTAAATTGAACTCTTTATACTCATTATTTTCTCAGTTGCAAATGTGGATATAACCACCTTCTTACTATGGATAGGTAACTTCATGTAAATTGTGGCGGCAAGTGGGAGAATCTTTCAAGCCTCCAAAGTAAGGGACAAGATGCAGGGTTACTTTCAATCTTGTTTTTAGCTTGCATATGGAAATCTCCTTATTTAAGAAATTGAATGTGGTTCAATCAATTAAATTTAAAATCTTTTATGAACTCTAGTTCTTAAGGACACAAATGTTACTCATTTACACAGTGAAAATGTTATTTTCTATGTTAAGTTCCCTCTCTCTCTCTCTCCACTCCAAAAAATCAATGATATTTATATCTTTTCTGTTTCAATTTGTGCAGGACCTGTACTACCGTTTCATGGACATTTCGTGGTTTCTATGAGAAGGTATTTTACATTATAAATCATGCATGCTTAGGCAAATACTCTGGCAACTCATTTTGTGTTTGCTAACATTTCCTCATGGCTGTGCATCTTTGGTTATAAAAAAAGGATTTGGAAAAATTGGCCTCAACTTCCTTTATATAATATCTTGCTTCCATACTGGTGCATCAAGTGAACTGCCTTATTGGTGACAGAGCTTGACATGATTGCTATGTCGTAAGCAGCTGTGTGGCTCCATAATTTACTTTGTGATTTACATATATTCTATGCAAATTTGAGTATTATGCCTTTGTTTCCTTCATATACTTGAGGCAGTTGTTATCCAGTGCTTGTACCTTTTTTTGTTTATGATTTTTATGCTTTGTCAGGCACTCCTTGATTATGAAAGGCATAAGACATGCGGTGGTGAGCTTAATGTACCTATTGCTTCCCAATCAGAACCCATGAATGTTGATAATCAGGTAATATGAACTATCATTCTACTATCAGATTTTTTCAAAAAAAAAAAAAGTAAAAGATATTGATTGAGATTGTGGTAATTTAACTGGGTTTAAAAGTATTCAACTTTATGTAATCCTGTTTTCCCAAACCATGTCAGCTTAAAAGTTGTATGGTGAAATGTTATACTTCAAAAGTTGTTACCTTTTGTATCTCTAATTGCAATAGATTTTGTGAGGTTTATCTTTCGTAATTGTCTGTTCCAACATTCTTTATGATGCTACTTGTGTTTAGGCTGCAGGATCAGGTAGAGCACGGAGGGATGCAGCGGCACGTGCTATGCGAGGTTGGCACTCACAACGTCATTTAAGTAATGGTGAAGTCAGTGACCCAATAATTAAGGTGTGGTGAAAATCAAGCATGCAATTTGTTTCCTCTGTTTTTCCTATTGATCCATAAAGGGGGCAAAAGAGGAAAAGAAGAGCTTCAGTGCATTTTCATGTGTAATCTTTTGATCATGATATAGTATGATATTGCAATTTATCCATTTTATTTTTTGGTAGGATAAGAATTCTATTTCTCTGCAAAAGCGTGAAAAACAGCTTAAAAGCCTCGGTATGGTGTTTAAACAAATTTTTGTTCTTGATGTTTTAAAGCTGATGAAGATTTATGAAGCTGGATTCCTGTGTACTAATGCAGGTTTGCTTAAACGTAAGAAACCATCTTACTTGGACCATGCTGTCAAAGCTGCACGTACCAAAGTGTCCAAGGCACAGTTAAGATCCATGTCACATATATTATGGGTGTTGACTATGCCCTTTACCAATTTGTTTGAGGTGAAAATAATTTTGTACAGCCTCTTTGGATGCAATATATTGACTTTCTTCTTAATTGACTAGTGTGGAGACAACGGTGGTTGATATCGGACCCCCAGCTGATTGGGTTAAGATCAATGTGCAGAAAACTGTAAGTTTCTATGCCCCTTCTCTCCAGAAAGGACATGTCGTTCTGGTTTTTGAAAGTTTGGCTTGTTTTGGTTTTACAGAAAGATTGTTTTGAGGTCTATGCTCTAGTGCCAGGCCTTCTTCGAGAGGAGGTCAGTACAAAAAACCCTAAAACTATTTGTGGTTTTTATTTTTATTTTTTACTACATATGGTTAGAACCAATGTGTAGAAACAGTGCCTTTTGTTGGAATAATCATCATTCAAAGATTGGCCTAAGTTTGCAGCTTTACTAAGCATTTGGTTTCATGAAGCATGAGAATGTGATCTGCAGGGCTTTTGAGACAAATTGTTCTTGGATTTTGATCATGGAATCATACGCTAGCTAGAATTCTTTTTCTGGCAGTTAACACTAAATTTCTGCACCGTCTGTATGGAAGCTTTTCTTATGTGGTTATCTTGCAATTTTAGGTGCGTGTTCAATCTGATCCTGCAGGACGCCTAGTAATAAGCGGCGAACCTGAGCATCCTGATAATCCCTGGGGTGTCACACCCTTTAAAAAGGTGTGTAGTATACAAGAAGCAATGAAAAAAGTATTCTAGAAGGGAAATATTATTCTAATTGCGTTATTAGCTAGAATATATTTTGCATTGCTTCTTTAGATGGATGTCATTATTATAAATGTATTTGTATGCCATGTTTTTAGTCTCTTCTGTGAGTTTTACATCCATGAGGGTGAATTGGTCTAAATAATTATATAGAATGAGAAGATTTTCAGGTTGACTCAGACCATTTATTTCATATAAAAAATGTATTTGAACATATCCTTATCTTTAGTTTTTCTTGTTCAGTCCAATATTTTATCAAAAATGGACTAATCCTTGAAAAATTTTGGCTCCTTCATGTGTTTCTATCAAGAACCTTCAATCTTCCCAACAGAACAATTGTATGTATTTTGATTTATCGATTTGAACATCTTCCTGAGACTAATCAAGGTTTTATTGGAAATAATTCTATTTAAGGCTCAGTCAGTTTGGTTCAAAATCTCAAGGCAAACTGCCAGTTTATAACTTAATCATTGTCTTCATTACAGACATCATCTTTTGTGGTTGATTTCCGACCTTGTAGCCAATGTTAGAGACACTTTAGAACTGTTTTTAAAATTTTATTGTGGCCGTGATGATGGCACTTGCCTAGCTAGCACTAAAATGTTTCACGTCATAGTCATTAAATGTAGGAAAGAAATTTATTCTTTTTCTAGCCTTAGGTGGTGGTCTTCTTTGCCCTTTTTAGGGGGTAACACATTATGAAGTAATTAGCTCTTCATGATGTCGACAATTTGGTCTTTTGATGTCAGGTTGTCAGCTTGCCCGCAAGGATTGATCCACATCAAACGTCAGCTGTGGTAACCCTTCATGGACAGTTGTTTGTTCGTGTTCCCTTTGAGCAAGTGTGACTAGCGGGACTAAAAAATCTGCTCGGCTCCACCAGCTGCGTGAGGTGAGGGGTGACTAGTGAACAGGAGGATTAAGCCAGAGGATAATGAAGCAAGCCCCAGTTTTAGTTTTGGACCAGTGCATTTGAATTTTTGTTTCTAAAAAGCAGTGCAGTTTAACTAATGACGCTTATTTATGATTCTAGTGAGTGTATACATGTAAGATATCCTTTTTATTCTTTGGAAAAGTTGTACATGCCTGATCTTATACAGCTGCTTAAGGAAAGACTACTAGTTTTTCTCATTCATTGGCAGTGATATTAGTTTCAAATTCATTCCAATTGGAACAAAAAAATGAGTAATTATTGGGGAAGATGGTAGGGAGCGCTGGTTGTGAATTGTGATCATCTTTAATTCTTCAAACAGAATCTCGCAAGCGAATAGCAATGCCGTGAATGGTATCCCTGACAACCTCATGTTCTCACATATGAGATTGAGATCGAAATGACAGATAATTGCGCGGCACTCTGTTCTTCCCTTTCTTCAATCCATTTCACTCTAGAAAAAAAGAAAAATTAAACAATTACACAGAAACCGCCTGGGGTTGAAACTTAAAAATGCTTCTTGATACAAAATATAATTATCACCGCCAAATAATGGAAAGTATACATACGAATATCATGATGAAATGACCTTGTCAAAAGCATACTGAGCCCAAACATCACGAGGCAGTCACCATTGACGCCAAATCCAACTCTTCATCAGAATCAATCACATCTTCATAGTCATAGTAGGCATTGACCTGCATGCGTGGTTCCATTGCAATAATTAGATGTTTTCAAAACATAGTTTCATCCAACATGGGCACCATTCCCATCAACTAGCAAATCTAAACCAATTAATACATGTAAAATTTCGTCTTCAAATTTTGTAGTTAGTAAGTTTGTAATTACAATGCTCAAGTATATCGTTGCTGATTAAACTTTATAATCCAGTTTGATACCTTTGGTCTTGGGGAAATTGCTTCAAAACTGTGGAATTCGGGATCATCAAAATCAGGGGGCTTCAGCACAACATATGCCCCTTTGTTATTGTATCTCTCTTCCGTTGCCTGCATTGTAGAAAGAAAAACTTAACAAGTTGTATAGTGGCTTATCTAAGGACAATGTTAAATTGTGCTTTACCAGTCAAATATCAACAGCTACAAGATACGCAGAGAATATGACACTCCCCAATGTTAAGGAAACAAAATTGACTCAAACAACAGACATAGTCTAATACATTTCGTATCCACTACTCATAGTAATATCATTAGGAGAAATTCTACATGACAACAACAAGGCCAGCAATGCATGGTGGAACTCAATGTTAGGCAAGTAAGGGCCAACTTCTGCAAAATATGAGTGTAGTTGAGGTAAGATAGCTATAATGCATGTGTTAGCACATAAGGAAAAGACAGCAGTAGAAACGATTGCATTTGAAGAAAGGAGGACGAAACTAAAATTAAGTATAAATAAAGGAGATACAGTTATAAGAACCTTGCTCTTAATGATCTACTCAAGATATGCTCCAAATGAAACACAAGGGTAAAAAGGTTTTGTTTTTAGTCAATTACTTTGTAACAATAATTACATCTGTTGAACCAAAAGTACAAAATAAAAATTAAAAAAAAAAAATCCTCTCTTTAGTTTTTCATTTGAGCAAGACATTCATAAACAGAATACCTCACATGTAAACATGCAAAATACAAAACACAAATCAACCTTGGTATATCAAGTATCTCACAGTTCAAGAGATTTATATCCCTGTGATGCATTTCAACAAGACCACTAGACCACTTCAGTGGAATCATGTCCAAGTTTATGATTCTACACAAACTGGCTAGACCTAGGAAAACAAATAAGACTTTTACTTCCCATTTGGAAAACCAAAAATACATTTCCAGGCAGTCAAATCTCCCAAAACACTTCAATGATTTCACACAAAAGATATCCCATCTTAAACACCACATATAACAGCACAAAATATGGGTAGAATAAAGTCGAGGATACTAATCCACAAAAATATTTGAAAGGATGTTGGCAGATCCAAATCAAGCAAAACACATACATGAGTTATCATTTGTTGTCGGGAAGGAAAACCAGAAGCAAGGCATTTGTATTTTTAGGGAAAAGATGTAAACCATTGAAGATCATGAAGATACCTGAAATTGTGGGTAGTCAGGAGCACTAAACACAGTTATCAACTTCCCTGACTCCACATCATGATCTATGGTGTATCCTTCATCCATTCCTGCAAGACCAGGCCTCTTTTCTCTAGCATCAGGGCCTTCATGTGATCTGATGATTAGCTGAGGCAATGGCACCAAACAGCAACCACACTATCAATATTTTGCAACAAAAAAACAAAAGCTAGCCCCTAGGATTAATAGCTGTAACAAGTAATATACAAATTATAAAAATGAAAGAATCTCTATATGCCTTAAATTTCACTCGAACAATTGAATGGAAAAATCTATTACCCAGTTATCAACTAAAGTTTAAGTTTACTGAACATAAAGAAAGACAAAGTTTATGAGCAATATTAGTACAGCTGTAAGTTTTTACATCATCTAGTTACTATCTTACTAGTACTCTCTGCAGACTTGAATCCTAACTGCAACTTTCGACAGGTAAGCACGGAGAGTGGAGGCACTATAGTTTAATAACATGAAAATAACTCGACTGTTAAACAAAAGCTTTAAATGGAAAACGTCCTTATGACGTTACCTTTAACCTGAACTTCTTCAAGAACTCCTCGGTGCAATCGGGACCCCATAACAAGCCAATTCCTCTCTCTTTATTGGGGGAAAGACCAGGGCTCATTGATGGATCTGACCATAGCACGTCACCTGGAATCAAATTCAATCCTTCCCATGGAGGATCAAGAACTGATCTTCGAGCTTTAGATAATTCCTCGAAAGAACCAAGGCATAAAGAGTTGGCTACAGGGTTGAGGCTTATCCTACGATTCTTCTTCCCTTTTGACCTCTTTGAAGGGGTGACTGAAATGCTGCGGAAAAGCCCGCCATGGGCAGTATATACACGCCCCGCAATTATAGAGGCCAAAGGCAGTCCTTCGAAGCAGCCCAAACATTTGCGGTACACATGCTTACCTTTATCTCCATACTTCGCCAGAACTTCCTTCTCAAATCCATAAACAGATGTGCAGTACTTGGATTCATGATTTCCACGAAGAAGATAAACTCTATGTGGCATGAAAACCTAGAAGAATATGATATCTTGTCAAATGTTATTTAATTATCAAAATAGATATTTATTTCACAAAAAAATCTGTGCCAAAAATCAAAAGCCAATCTAATGTAAGGAAAAGAAATAAGCTTAATTTATGAGAAGTGAAATGGATTTTTGGATTGTCCACAAAAGGCAAGCATTGAACCAGCGTTTAAAAAGAAACAGGAAAAGAAAATACAAATGAACAAATTTGAAAAATAAGATAGGGAGAAAATTATATGTAAGGGAAAGGTATTGCTACTGTATAATAGATCGTCAAAGTGATAATCCAGCGTGTTAAGAAGCTATCCCACTGGGGCAAATTCATTTACAAACAGAGAACGAAAGATTGTATTGAAATACCAAAACACGTAAAAGTGTATCCTTTAATTATAAAGACGACTTGAAAATTGGAAGTACCTTCCAAGCTAACAATAGCAAGAAAGTCTCAAGACCCCAAGCTCCTCTGTCAACGTAATCCCCGTTGAAGACAAAGATACGATTTTGAGCAGGAAAGCCAGCATCTTTGAGGAGGAATAGAAGATCATGCAATTGCCCATGAAGATCGCCAACCACTACAACCGTCGAGTCGGAGTCGAGGGTCTCGATTTGCAGGCAATTGGGTTCTTTGTGGAGGATCTTAGAAGCGGTGAGGACGAGGGCATCAAAGACGGGAACGGGGAGCACGGACGGGAAGGCGGAGGGGGGCAGATTTCTTGAAGACCAGTCCAACGCCGACATAACATGCTGGATCCACTCAAGGCTCAGCTTCCCATCGGGAGACCAAGACAGAGGAACCGGAGCAGCCGATGGGGGTGGGGAAGGGGACGGAGAGGGGTTGTCGCAGGAGGTGGCCGTAGTGGTGGTGGAGGAGGAGGCATCTGCATCTCTTGAAGTCAGACTGGTAATGGTATTAGAAATGTTATCAGAAGACATAAAAAGTGGGGTTTTTTTTTTCCTTTCTCTTTAAAAATTTGTGAGAAAAAATTTTGTTTTTATTTTCAGAGGAGAAACTGTTTCAGAAAATTGGAAACCCTAGCATACGGTTGGAACTTGGAACATGGAACATGGAACATACAGATACAGTTACAAGGGTTTTTGGCTCTCCATAAGTTATTTGGGTAGGAGGTTGTTTGTGTGAGTCACTTTATAGTCCAGTGGCATCAGAGTTACTAATAAAAGTGTTTAAAAGTTACCAGGACTCGGAATCAGCTACTTGTGAAAATATATGTACGTACTACTCCTATGAATTATGAAAATACAGGTGTGTCTCGCTCTCCATTATGACTTTCTGCAACTTTTCGCAAATTGTGAACTTTTTTATTAATTAAATTGATATTTCATACCAGCATTCAGACAACGGATTCCCGTTCCCATTCAGCACCGACCACCAGATGCTGGCCTTGCCCGCACTTATCTCTTTAGTTTAGCAATAATTCTTCTGATCATGAGTAATAATCTCAATTCTCTTCTTTCTTTTCAATTGTTTATGTTTCACTCTTTTTATGAAACGAACCTTTCATCTTAAATTAACAACATCTATGTTATAAATGTTGCTTCTAACTGGTTTCCAACCTGCCAGGCTACTTTATTCTGTTTCACCACAATCCGAAACTCTCCGTCAGACTGTCACTACAATTGTTACTATAAGTTATATGCAGTGCTAGTAGCAGGTTCCAAAATTTGTCATTGAACCTGGCCTTAGCCCTTTAGGACTTGGGTGAGCCTCGATCGGCAGATCATGATGCTGATATTTGCTATGTGCTGCGCACCTCTGGTCGTGGTTGTACACCGTTTAGCAGCCAAAAACCGAAAAAGGGGGTTTTGTTTTCAACTTTTTTGGATTGCAGTCCACACTGTAAAGTTGATTCCTATTCACCAATGACAGGAAATTAAGAGTGCTTGACTATATAAGCTTACTTAATTAAGGAGTCTTACGTTTAGAAATATTGTTACAAAGTTCAAAATGGATGTGTCTCTCTTATATAAAGTTAAAATCTTAAATGCTTGATTTATCACCATGCATTAATCAACACATCCTTTGATGAATATACTCGCACCAGACAGGAAAGGAAAATGGAAGTTTGAAGCCTTGTGTTGTGCACTTCTTATTCTATCCGGACTCCCGGGAAAGTGAGAAGGCCAACCATGGCCGCAAAGGAACGCTGCCACGTAATCTCCTGCGTGTTTGCAGGCTGTTTTAATTTCCTGGCCTACCTAATATTTCAGTAAACAACAAACCATCTGTATCTGTAATTAAGGAGTTGATGACCAACGTTGCTGACCTTTGTGCCTTTCCCTCGCGATTTTCCTCTGATGCAAACGCTGACAGTTGACCATCTGAACGATAGCAATATTATACCAGGCTGAGGCCTACATGCATATAATGAAATGAGTTTAACTTCATTTGCCGCTTGCGGGGATACAACACAACGCAATTTGCAACTTAATATCTCAGCGACAAGTTCCTATGCTAATACAGTAGAAAAAGGCATAATCATAAGTCAAAAAGAGGAAATTTAACGGAGTGATCTACCAAATTCCACATATAATTGGCAATTAGATTTGCGTTTGTTGTTGGGCCGCTCCCGCTTCAGCCTTCATGTTCAATCACACCTAATAATCTGAAAAGAGACACTTGCATTTCTTTTTCTTCTTGTCCTCAGGCCTCAACGGCAACGGCCCTACTTACCCTGCCAATTACTAATATTACAAAACCTCCTTTTCATTTATTAATTATTAATATTGTTATGCTACAAGTGTGCATATATATATATATATATATATATATTATATATGTTTACACTTGTTAAACATATTGGAGCGAATATATGCATGATCTGGTCATATCCACGTTTTACAATACCACCTATTAAAATTCTGCTTCTGCATTATATTTCCGCTGCAGAAACCGCCCAAAGCTTAAAGTCCAGCATACTCCAAAACCCACCATTTCCAAGTTCCTTCCTTCCACACCACTAGCTCACCTTCCAAGAGCTCCTCCTCCGACCCATTATCATACATAAAACTACCGTATGAATATAAGGCTCCCCGATCGAGAAGCAGGGAATAGGGTTTTTTCTTTTCTTTTCTTCCTTGTTTTTCCTTGGTTGGGTGCATGTTTATAGCAATTCATTGTCTTAATTAGCCTCAACAGAACATGAGTAGCCATATGAAGTACAACAGGGTTGGGCGGAGATGCCAGGGAAGTGGAAACAAAGGTTTCAGGCTTAACCCAGAAGATTTTCGGTTCAACGCTACGCGCAAGGTTCTTTTATTTGTTCAGGCTATTAAGTAGATGGAGAACATCATACGGGCGAGCTTTGCGATTGATAAAGAAATTAGGTATCAATATAGGAAATAGCAGCATCAAGAGAGATAACAGCAGCGGCAGGGTCGGCAGCAGGAGTTTAGTGACGCCAAAGGAGCTAGAGTACCTTTACCCAACAGTACCAGGTTGAGATCATCGTTGGGACGCTCTAATTCTTTTTATTCTGAGGCCATTGCAGACTGCTTGGAGTTTATCAAGCGCTCTTCTCTTTCCGTGGATCAGAAGCAACCTCTACCTGCCTGCCAAAGATAGTTAAGCCTAAGCTCCTTAGTCCGATCCTTGTAAGATTAATCGTCTGAGATTTAATTCGTTGAATTAATTACTGTTAATCTGCCACATTTAACTAGTTTGCTCTTCCTCCTGCATGTATATACTTAGTAAGTCGTTGGTGTATATCTTGAGTTTTGAAGATGCCTGCCGTGAGAGTATTAATTATTTTGGTTTGATTGAATGCTTGCAAGGAAATGGGCAAAAGTTTGTGAAGGTTCAGAGTAGGTATGAATTGAATTTGAAAATTCTAATATTTGAATTACCACCTAACTCGATTGCCATTATTTGACTAAACATAAAAGCCAAAACGAACGGCCACCACTCTTTCTTTTTCTTGACTTTGCTAAAGTTAAGGCTTTGGGGTAGTTAATTAATTAATTAATTTTATAATACACTGATGACGCCGATAATGTGATGCTGATAGTTGGACAGCTAATCCATTGGACCATTTATATACGATTTAACATCGGTTCAGAAATTTTGTTGGGCCTGAGTGCCATCTGACCATTGAAGATTTAACAAGACAATGCTTTTTTATTTCTTGATACAAGATTGAAGATGATGTTAAATGTTAATTATTTACTGTATAGTTATGCTTACTTTTCCGACAAATCAATTCACAACTCATAATTCAGGATTAATGCTAAATCTTATAAGATATAACACAATTTATCTCGTGAACTAAACAAGAAGAAAAACATACATTCATATCCTTGCACGTATTTTATTATAGGCACATAAGGGAGAAGATACCAAGGAAAGAAAGGAAAGAAACTTGAAATGGGTTACTAAGTATATACTTACTTAACACAAACAAAGTCTGGAAGACTCTGAGAGTAGCTAACAATCAAGCATTGCATTTGCATATACATATACATTGGTAAGCAATTGGCAAATGAATTCTCACAAGTCACAACCAATACAAATACTTATAACTCACAAACAAATCTCCCTTCTTCTAAACAAATAAACTAGACTTGTTTTGGCGCCAACAACTACAGCTGAAAACCCAACAAAGAGAAGAAAATTAGAGAGAAAATAAAAACTAAAAAGGTCCAAAAACCACGCGTCCATTAAAACCCAAATGAATTACTGGTCTAACCCTAGCAGGCTGAAAACTCTGTGGAGAAAAGCCCGCACTTTGGTTGGCCTTGCGACCACTTCCGCCGCAGCTACCGTAACGACCGCAGCATCTTTTTCCAACTCCGCCACTTCTGCCATGGACTCTCCTGTCAGGACAAAGGTTTGCATCATCGGCAGCGGCCCCGCTGCCCACACGGCGGCCATCTATACCGCCCGTGCTGAGCTGAAGCCCATTCTCTTCGAGGGCTGGATGGCTAACGACATCGCCCCTGGCGGTCAGCTGACCACCACAACGGACGTCGAGAACTTCCCTGGATTCCCCGACGGCATCATGGGCATGGAGCTTATGGACCGCTGCCGCAATCAATCGCTCCGCTTTGGCACCGCCATCACACTGAAACCGTCAACAAGGTGGACCTTTCGTCGTCTCCGTTCAGGATCATCACCGATGCGAAAACCGTCCTGGCTGACTCGGTGATTGTAGCCACAGGGCCGTAGCAAAGCGGCTGAATTTCCCGGGTTCAGGGGATGGGTCAGGGGGCTTTTGGAACAAAGGAATCTCAGCTTGCGCGGTGTGTGATGGGGCGGCCCCAATCTTCAGGGACAAGCCTCTGGCAGTGATTGTGGGGGTGACTCTGCAATGGAGGAATCCACCTACCTCACTAAGTACGCTTCCAAGGTTGTACATCATTCACCGGAGAGATACGTTAGGGCGTCCAAGATCATGCAGAGCAGGGCTGTTTCCAATCCTACATAAGGTGATATGGAATTCGGTGGTGGTGGAGGCGTATGGGGATGGGGACAGAGGGGTTTTGGGAGGGCTTAAGGTGAAGAACCTGCTCACTGGGGAGGTTTCTGATTTGAAAGTTTCTGGCTTGTTCTTTGCCATTGGGCACGAGCCTGCCACCAAGTTCTTGGAAGGCCAGCTGCAGCTTGATTCAGATGGCTACATTCTTACTAAGCCAGGTACAGCTCAGACCAGCGTGCGCGGCGTTTTTGCTGCTGGAGATGTCCAGGATAAGAAGTACAGGCAGGCTGTTACTGCTGCTGGCACTGGTTAGTCCTTTTCCCTTCACATGTTTGTTGTCTTCCACGATTTTCCGTACTCTTTGATTGTGATCAAGCCTCAAGCTTGCTTACATGACATAAACTGGCACGGATTGCATAAGCTAAGAAGCAATCGCCTAAGGCATGGATTGGATATTTGCTTGTCATTTTACATGTAAGAATAATATCTAACCAAACATTAGTTTATTGTATGTTCCATCTTTAGATGAATCTTCACTCCTTTTCTCTTTGAAGAACGAGAAAATTAGAAAACCCATGCGCTTGCAGGGGAGGGACCGGAGCTCTTCAACCTCACTTTAGACTCTTGAAACCTTGGTGACATGATTCTTTTATAAAAAAAAAGCTACTGCAAAATTCTTGATGACGGACATATTATGAAAAGGAAATAAGCTGCCGAATATTTCCAATCACTGGCTTATCATCTGCAATTGCTCTGTTTGTATACTTTCCATGATAGTAGTTCCTAGGAATGCATTTCCATTTGAATCAGCAAAATTATGATTTTACGTACATAACATACATATTTGCTGCTGCATTAAGTTTGATTTATCCTCATCTAGCCGACTTGAAATTTGTTTGTTTTGCAACTATGCAGGGTGCATGGCAGCCTTGGAAGCTGAACATTACTTGCAAGAGATTGGATCTCAGAAGGGCAAGAGCGTTTGATGAGTGATGTCCCAGGGGCTTTAAAAGATGCTTTATTTAGAAGCAAGTTCTTTGTCTGGATGTTGCTTCTTCTGGATCAATATTGGAATTGGCATTGTTATTGATATTCAATATCTGCTTTTAATGAAAGTAGATTAGCTATGTCTTGTCTATTATTATATTTTTACTAAGCTGCAAAGAGTTCGATTACTAGAGAGAATGGGTGATCAATTGGCTAGAGGATTTTGCAATCTCCATGGTAGCAAAGATTATTGAGATTGGATTTGCAAAATTGAGCTCTGAGAAACCATAGCTTAAGGTTGTGGTTAAAGTACTAAGTTACAATTTTGCTACTCTTAACATTCCTAGACTTAGTATTTTGGTTAATTATCAGCACAACAAATTCATTGGTTAAGTCAGGGGAGCATGATTCACTGTATGAAGTAGTTGATTAGAGGACATGTTACAAAATATTTGCCCGACTGCTGTTGGGTAAGGGAAACTCAGCAACTGTGGAGTATAGAATCTATGGTGTCTTTCAAGAAACTCTGGGAGTGTAGGGTGTCTGTCTCCGCGCCAATGATTTTGAGTGAATTCTAGTTGATAATTATCAGCCAAAATTCATGATTTGTTATCCAAGGAGGTAAAGCAAATGTTGAACGCGTAGTATAATTCGGATGTTGGTCATCGTCAAAATTGTTTCTCTTTAACTCCCCCTGGCTCAACCCTGGATGTGCTGCAATGAAGATCATCTGATGCTTTAGCCCTTTTCCTTGCAGTTCCCTTCTATCAAGTATCAACCATCTATTTTCCAAAAAAAAAAAAAATCACCATTCAACTTACAGCTCGAGGTATTATCTGGGCATGGGTTTATTTTGGAGATTATATTAAGTAGAGTCACATTTGAATTTTATTATCGTTTTTTATTTATTAATTTGTATGGATTGAACATAACGATGTTAAACACAGGAGCTTTGGTATGTATTCTAATAGAATAGTGTGGAGAGTTAGGAAGCCTTTGATGCAGCTTTTTCAGAGAAAGACATTGGAAAAATGGCAGTGAAAGAGGACCTTCAAAGAGCGCAATTGTGTGGATTAGAATTCCAAAAAGAGCAACCAGCTCCACCCATGATCATTTATTGACATAACCATTAACAAGTGAGTTGATATTGAACATTGATGATAGTTCCAAGAACCATTCTCAAATTGCGGCTAGAGGCGGTGTATTGAAAGACCACACAAATATGCTTGTCTTTCACTTTTTGTAAAATCTTGGATCTAATAATTCCCCAAAAGAGGAGTTTTTGGTTTTACATAGAGACCTAATTTTATGCCTACATTATAATATTTTTAAAGTTTGGATTAAGATGGATGCTTTGATAGTAATATACATGATAAAAGAGGGGGTTAGGTGGTCGCATGACATTCGTTATCTCCTAGCTTCTATCAGGAAATGTTTGCACCATATTTTATAAAGGATTTAGCATATTTATCGAGAAGGTAATTAAGTGACAAATTATCTATCTAACGTTAATTATTTGTATCAGAATTTGAATGTACTTTCCCAAACTCAAGAAAAATTACAAAATATATTACAATTAGACAAGTTTAATCTACTATATATCAGGTTTCAATAAATATAAAGGAGTAGTACTAATAATTTATTATTATTTCATTTTCTTAAAATCATGTAAACAAGTGTTGTTACTTATCCCTTGCACTCATGATAAAATTGCAGGGAAAGTAATGCCCTAGTTAGGTTCTTTTTTCGATATCTCATGATAAAATTTCTTTTTGTATTTTTATTATTTTATTAATAAAATTTTAACAGAGTAACTAGATCCTGCGAGAATTTCTAACAAAAAAAAAAAACTTATAGCTCGAGGTGGTCTATTCGTTGTCCATACTTCATCTGTTAGATAGTCGGGCTTTCATTTACTGAGTCAAGGTGACAAGGGAGCACGAAGCAGTGATATACATACAATCACAGTTCCAAAATCCTGCTGCTGGTAAGTTCACCAATCAATTCAGCATCTTCCACCAGGCAAAATTTGGATCATGCTGATGGCATTTGTACAGACTAGAAAGGCCTCTCATTGCAGTGACCTAGCAAATTTTTTTCTTCTCTAACATGATAATCAAAAAATTTAAAAAGTTTAAAATAAAATAAAATACTCTAATTCTTTAAATTTTGATCATAATTTCACTTCAATTCATTAATATTAAAATACACAATACGTCTCAAATATATAAAAAATGTTAATAGATAAATTTAAAATATCTAAAATGTTTTTTTTTAATCTTTTGTTTTTCTTAGATGGATCGACGGCGCTCCCTTACATCAGTCAACAACCTCGTGGCCGAATCCAATTGAGGAATGTTTGATTGATGCTTGCCATGTCATTCGTTGTCTTCGTTGCTGCCATATGCTATTACCATTCTCCGTGGAGAAAATTTAATAAGAGGATAAAGAATGTTTGGATAAAGAGATTATAAAATTATAAAAAAGAAGAAATTGTATTGCTTAAAATATTGTGACATCGTCAAATAAACAGAAATTATAATAAAATATTTTGTCATCTTATCTTAGCCAATAGAGCATATGGCTCATAACGATGTGGTCTTGGGTTCGATTTCCACAAATCGCTGTAATACTAGAATAAATTTTGATGTAGATGTTGAGGACAAAATTAAAAAAGGAAAGCTAGCACTTCCATATATACGACAGTACAACAGAAAAGCTTATTAAAGCTTGCAATATATTGCTAATCGTAAACCTCAAACATGACTCAAAGGGAGGCTACTGGTTGGGCGTTGGTATGGAGAAGAATATGGTAACAAGTTCGAAAGGTTGTGTTTGCTTTTCCTTGGCCTTGGCGCACACACAAATGGCGCCATGCGACAGAGAGTACATGCAGAAGTAGAGGCAGAACAGTACAAGGCTTCTCATCGCAATTTCTCAATTTGCATTACACCAGCTCTTTTTGCTTTTAGTATTTTTTTCTTCTGCACCCCGGAAACAGACCCGGCCAGTCTCAGGCACATGCCTAATCAGAAAAGAAAAATAATGGGTATTTGTAGCCAACGCTTTTTCTTGCCACCTGCGGCATGCGGCCCACCCCTATGTGCTCTTTGTTTTACCCCTCCCAGCACCAACACTTTCAGAGTGCAACCCATCCTCCCTACCAAAAACAACTTTCCTTTTTTTTAATTTTTATTTTCGTCTTTTATTCTTCTTCTGTAATGTTAGTTCGGAGCCTATCTTAGGGACAGTTGTTGGGAAGCCATCTCCGAGATATCTTTGCTGGACCTGTTGTATTTCATGTGGCTCTTCACCAGCTGCCCAGCTGCAAGGGCAGACATGAGTGAGAGCTCTCCAGCTAGGACTGAACCGGCTACTATGGTGGCCAAGAGCTTTGAGTTTGAGCCCGGGCATTCTTTGCTGGCACCTTTAACCCCAAGTAAGTTTAGGCAAGCTGACTGAGATGCTAAATGGGTGCCACCTCCCACTGTGCCCACCTGAACCCTTGCATGCATATAACCAACTACTCAGTTCTGTATGGCCACATGAGACAGATTGGGTCCTAGTGCTGTAATTGAATGGGGAATACTGTGAATGATGGTTTTCAAGAGTATATATTTCCTTGTAATCCATATACTTACCCCGCGCACCTAACATTTAAATTAAACTATTTCAAAAGCCTAGTAATTAAAAAAAATGATACCATACACTAGTAGTACTCCTACAATTAATATATGGTACTAAAAGAAGACAAATTAATTTAGGGAAGGGAGGGAGTGTATGCTGTACGCCTGTACCTCAATGGAAGGCATAGTGACGGAGATGTGAAGATCCTTGCTATCGTTGACAGCTTCCATCATGGTGATGCAGTGAGAGCTCTCCACATTCTGAGCAGGATCCTGGCCAGTGGCTACGTAAACTGCAGAAACAATATTGCTGGCATGGGCGTTGAAACCGCCTTGAGCAGCAGCGATAGCGGAGCCAGTGAGGTTCTTAAGCATGTTAAGTTCCACCAAAGCAGGAGCGGTGGTCTTGAGCAACTTTTTCAACACCTCTTCCTTTATGACTGCCTCGCAGACGACCGACTTTCCACGTCCTTCTATCCAGTTAACTGCTGCTGGCTTCTTATCTGAACAGAAGTTTCCTGACCCATTTGCAGTGCGCCTCCACCATGTTAATTAATCAGACTGAAACTAAGCACATAGGGTTTGAAATGATCATGCGATTAAACTACATAAAAAGCTCGTAATCACGCACGGTCACTCATTTATAATTGGATATATACATTAACAAGAGAGAATGAAAAACACAAACTAATCAAAGTACTTAATTTTGCACTGCCTAACTGTACTAGAAGAAGTAAGAATAGTAGTACAAATAAAACTTTCAAGTTTGACGTAACATACTGCTGCTATATATTACTTAGATTGTTGTAAAAAGAAAAAGGTTACAGAAGATGCCAATAACATCCATGTCGGGATAATCGTGATGGAGAAAATCAAGAACGTTTTGGACACCCTTGGAGACCATATTCATCCCCATGGCATCTCCTGTGCGGCAGCTGAACCTTACGTACAAGTTCTTGCCTGCTATGCCACATTTTACTCCTTGTAATCTAGCAAATCTGCTCGTCCTGCGTACGCCACCCCTTTTCTTATTTACACTAGTTATACAGTTCTAGTAACTACTCTGCAACATCGTGATAATTATGGCTTACGAGACATAATATTAAACCTCCAAATTTGAAACCAAGTAGATAGATGATTGAGGCAACCAAAGAAACTAAGGCAGCTATCTCGGAGAGGGTTAAGACATGGAGTGGAGAGCAAGTACGGATCTTGTAGCGCCATCTGTGGAGGAGGAAGTATGCCACGGAGAAGAAGAGGGCGAAGAAGATTCCGTTTGTCAGGTAGAGGGGAAGAGGAAGATCAGCATCTGAGGCTTTCACTTTCAGGGGCTCCCCCACTTTAAGAAGTGCTTCTTCGTCTGAGATTGGGCTGGGACGCCGGCGAACGTCCATGTTACTCTATCTCACTGTATTGTTAAGAATGTAGTACGTAGCGGTAGGAGTGTGAAAGCCAAAGGAGGAGGAGCTGCTGTTTTGATCTTTATAGCCAGAAATTGGAGGAGGTGCTCGGGCAGCCCAACGGCTAAAGTAATACAGCCTTAAGCAGCCCAAGAGAGGTTGGCGTACTGGACCATTACCAACGCGTACAGCGTGCTACGCGCTTTTGTCGGCTAGGTCTCCCAGTTTAAGGTTTTAATAATAAATCTTCCCGCCGCATCCATTTTATTTTTACTCCACTTACTATTTTTAATTATTAAATAGTCCTTAGAGAGGTGGTAAAATAAATTTCAATTCTAAAATCTGAACTATAATATTACCCGATTTGATGAAAATGTTAAATATCCCCTATTTTAAAATAAATCGCCTTGAATCCATCTCGCCCAAATCTAGAATCTAATTCTTAAGTGCAAATTTTATTTATTAATTTTGTTCTAAAATCAAATTCGACTTAAGTAAAAAAAATTAAAAATTAAATTGTGACATGGATTTTACATATAAAGATAATGAACTTAGATCAAAA